TGGTGTGTTGAGTGAGAACTCTACTCAAGGGATGAGAGTTAGGATGAGAGTTAATCAAACCGATAATAGTGTTGATTCATATATACTAAACTAAACAAGAAATGTATGAATTGGATAGAGACCAAGTCATGTCAAGATATTTTTTTTTTATTGTTTCTCCTTTTTTTTTTTTTTTTGAGAAGATAATGTTTCTTATTTTATTCATATTATACTATTGTTAATTTTTTTACCCTTTTAAATATAAATTCTATTTTTAAATATAAATTTTACTTCATAGTCCTTCTTAAATTACATATACTTTCAATATTACTATGACATATATTTAGAAATTTGCCATCAATTGCACTAAAATCTCATTCAAATAACTTTCTTCTTGTAATTTCGATTCTAGCACTCATATTAACATATCAAAATAGATAATTTATAATACAAGTTAAGGAATAAAATAGGAACTGAGAAAAATGACAAGAAATTAAAAAAGAGAATATGTATAAGAAATAATAAACATAAAACAAAATTTTACAAGTTAAGAAATTATAGAAAAAAGAGTTGGTAAAAAATAATGTATAAAAAAGAAAGAAATAGCAAATACCTTTCCTTATTTTATAATACCTTATCTAGATATTGCACATTAAGAATGACTATAGTTTGAATTTTTTTATTAAAATAATAATTGATATTTTTTCATTTCAATTTTTAAGCACTATGAATTTGATTAATAACAGATTGAAAAATGAAAAAATAAAATAAAATAAAACTAGAAGGTAAAAATCATTTGATTTTAGAGTAACAATCAATAACTTTATAAAAATAAAATGCTAAAATATTTTTAGATTAATAATCTATCTATATTTATCTATCTATAATAAAAATTGTTATCCCAAGCATTAATTAAACACTAATTTTGCCTTTTTATTTTAATTATAAAAAATAAATTTGTTAAAAATAAGAAATGATATATATTATTTTTACATAAAAAATAATAAATGTGATTAATAATTTATATCAATCATTTTATTTTCTTCAATTTCTTATCTTCTTCTTAATTGTTTTATTATTATTATTTTTAATTACATATAATAAATTAAATCAAAGGAAGAGGAATCGAAATCCAGTATTTATGAAGCATGAGAACAAATTATAAGATTATAATGTACAATAATTATGTGTGCAATATTGAAGACCCGTAAATGACCCAGATTTATTTTAACCATTTCTAAAGTTATGAGACTTTTATTTTTATTTTTCTTTTATATAAAAAATCTTATGTTGATGAATTAAAGGAAGACAAATGTAAGAGAGCATGGAAAGCAAGCAAAAGGTCATGAATATTAAAAAATTCAGTTATGATTCATTTAAATAATAAAAATGTAATCTTAATCAAAATTATTATATTATTTTGATGTAAACAGATGTAAACAAAATTACGATTCCAAGTGGACGGGTTTGCAGAATATAAATGTAAACATAAACTAAATATATTGAAAGAGTTCTTAAAAGGCTAGAATTGTGAAGTGTTTGGGGATATGGAAGTCCAATTCAACAAAGTAGTTAAAAAGGTAGAGCATGTTGATATGAAGAACGAGGAGGGTGAGTTGGAAGATAGACATGAGGATCTTTAGGAGATGTGGGAAGCCATATGGAAGCAAAAATCAAGAAGCACTTGGGTGTAGCTGGGTGATGCAAATACAAGATTTTTCCATAGAGTGGCAAATGGTAGAAGGGCTCAAAATAGCATTTCAGGTTTGTTGTGGGATGGTAGATGGGTGGAGGAACCAACTTTGGTAAAAAAAAAGAAGCAGAAACATATTTTTGGAAGCTGTTTCAAGAAGAAGAATGGAAGCGCCTCAGGCCTTCTGGAATAAACTTTAAGTAGATTTCTCATGAGAGGAAGGAATGGTTAGAAAGACCTTTTTCAATGGAGGAGATCGAAGAAGGGTTGAGGAGTTATGAAGGAACTAAAGCTCCAGGGCCAGATAGTTACAACTTTAACTTTCTCAAGTTTGTTTGGCAGAGTATAAAAGAGGACTTTGTGAGCTTTTTTAAGGAATTTCATCAGAATGGCAGGTTAGTGGGAAGGCTGAACTCTTCTTTTTTAACTCTAACTCCAAAGAAGTTGAGTCCTACAAAATTGAAGGACTATAGACCTATAAGTTTGATTGGGTGTGTGTATAAATTGTTGGCTAAGGTAATAGCTAATAGACTAATAGACTAAAAACTATTATGCCAGAGATAATAAGTGATACTTAATTAGCACTCTTAGGGGGTCGACAGCTGGTAGATAACGTCTTAGTTTTGAATGAAGTAGTGGATGAGGTGAAGAAGATGAGGCGGCAAGCTTTTGTGTTCAAGGCAGATTTTGAAAAAGCTTATGATTATGTAGATTGGTCATTTTTAGATTGGATGATTGGTAGGTTTGGCTTTGGTGCCAAGTGGCGAAGATGGATAAAGGAATGTCACTCGACAGCAAGGTTATCGATTTTGGTGAATGAGAGCCCAACGAAGGAGTTTAAAATGGGGAAAGGATTACGACAAGGTGATCCGCTATTTTCTTTTCTTTTCTTGATGATTGGTGAAAGGTTACATGGTTTGGTAAACAAGGCAGAGACTAAGGGTATGTTACACGGGATACCGATTGGTATAAAGGGGTTTGATGTATCTTTACTCCAATTTGCTGATGATACAGTAATTATGGGAAAAGCTAATAGTTTGAATATTTTTATGGTAAAATCTATTTTGAGGTGGTTTGAGTTAATGTTTGGACTGAAGATTAATTTTAGTAAAAGTAGTGTTTGTGGATTTAATGTGTCTGAAAGGTGGTTGAAAAGGGCAACAAGAGTTTTGCAATGTGGAGTTGGTGAAACACCTTTCATTTACTTAGGAATGTTGGTTGGAGGTAAACCAGGAAAGAAGTTCTAGGTTCTGATTGTTAACAAGTTTCGTGCCAAGCTTGCTGTCTAGAAATCTGCTATGTTGTCCATTGGAGGTCGCATTACTCTGCTCAATTCGGTACTTTCTTCTTTACCTATTTTTTATATGTCTCTTTTTTTTATGCCAAGCTATGTGGTTTCTGAATTGATTAGCATCCAGAGGGATTTTTTTGTGGGGTGGGGCAAAATTGAAGAGGAAGATACCATGGGTTAATTGGGATTTAGTTTGTTGTAGTAGGATGAAAGGTTGTTTAGGGGTGCCAGATCTACGTAGGAGGAATTGGGCATTACTCAGGGAAATGGTGGGCTAGATTGAGTGATGGAATGGAGAGTTTATGGAACCATGTGGCAAGGGAGAAATACTATGGAGGTAGGAGGGTGGTGGATATTACTATAGTAGAAAGTGTAATGGTGTCTAAGATTTGGAGTGATGTTATTAGAATAGGAGGGATGTCTGTGGGTTTAAGGAATTTGTTGGTGAAGGGATTTAGATGGGAGTTATGTAATATCCCAAATTTTCAGGAATTTTAGCATTTAGTTAGGGGTTTAATTGTGAAACAATATTATTTTGGGGCTTATTAGCTAAAATTTCCAAAGTTGAAGGACTGAAAAGAGTAGAAATTTGGATAAGGATCGGGTATTTTTTCTTCTTTCTTTCTTCAGCCTTGCGCGTTTCTGCTCTTCTTCTCCTTCTCACCCGCAGTAGCCCCAGGGGAACCCAGGCCCCCGACGCGCCTCCTTGAGAAAAACCGATAGAAAGCTTAAAATTTCTCCTTCTTTCTTGCTCAATAACAAGTTTTAGGACTTCGAACTCTCTCTCTCTCCAGCCATTTCTTTTTTGTTTGTTGCTTCTTTTTCCTTTTTTTTGCCGCCGGTTGCTGCTGTGGGTGGTGGGTTCGGTTTTCTGGTAAGGAATACAACATGAACTTCATCTTTTCAGCCTTAATTTGGCTTGGGTTCACTCTAAGCTCTTTTAATTTCCTTCAATTTTTGGTAGCCGTGAGTCCCCTGCAGAAATTGCCACCGGCTTCTTCTCCCCCGCCAGGTCCGGTTCTGCAGCCGGAAATTCTGGTATGTTGACAGCTCCTTCAAGCTTGAAATTTCATCAATAAATTACTGGTTGTGTTGTCCGAAAGTTTGCAGTAATTAGGGGATGAATTCCAGTAGCTTTAGGACAAAAATTTAAGCATTAATTCAAGTAGAATTTATGTGTTTGAGTGTTAATTAGCTGCTGTGATATTTTGGAGAGAAAATCCCGTGTGTGTGAGTGGCGGTTGCCAAAGCCATGCTCTCCATGTGCTGCCCGTGAGAAATGGGGATGAATTTGACAGTAATTAGACCATGAATTAGCTTAATTCAAGTAGAAAATTAGTTTATTTTGGCTGCTGTGATTTTAGAGAAAAATCCCATGAAATTAGCTATTGTTTTGCCAATTTTTGAAGTTGTAGTTACTGTTCATGGACACTGTTCACATGTACTGTTCACGGATACCGTTCTCGCACTGATGGCCAACAATTAACGGGGATTTAAATGTTTAGTTTGTAATATAAGAACAAATTTGAAAATGTCTGGTCGTGGAGATTGATTAGGGGGTAGTTATGGTGATTTTACTTTTGAATCCGTGGTACGGTAATTAATTCTTGAATGTTTTGATTAGGTTCCTGATCGTTCTGTCAGTTTAGCACTAAGATCGAGTCTTCGGTTTTATGCAAGTGAGGTAAGTAAATTTATGGTAATGCCCGTACAGTTTTTGAAAGCATGTTTTGACTTGTTTTTGAAGTGGTGGCGGGACTAAACTCGTTTTATACAAAAATGAGCATGATTGATTTGAAATAAGATTATTATTCTTTTTATTGATTTGAGCATGCCTACTTGGAATTTACTTAACTGCCCTGATAAACTGAGAATTTTGTAAATTCTGATTTTTCTGTTAAATCCATGCTCGCATGGAAATTTTCTAGTTTATTTTTGAAATTTGAGATTAATTGTGAATTATGATTTTCGTGTTAACTTCTGCCTATTTTGTCTCCGATGTGGTCATGTTTTACTGTGCCCGCTAGTGGGAGGTTTATAAATGCTAGCACATGTCGACATGTTTACTGATGAGACCGGTTCATTCTGTAATCCTGCCAATGGGATAAAACATTGGTTACTACTGTGCCCGCCAGTGGGAGGTTTATAACGCTGGCCATGACCTATAGAGGAGATGTCTATTTCATTCCCGTACTGTATTTGTTTTTCATGATTACACTTGTTGGCATGCTATAAGTTTAATAAAGGGCACTCCATATTTTACTTACTGAGTTTATCTCATAGTTTTTCATTATCCACCATTTCAGGAAGCAAAATCGAGGACGAGGAAACCATGGGAAGTGACGAGTTAGAAGGCTAGCCATTTCGAGATTGATATAGATTTTAGAAATAAATCATGCTTTTGTAAGATAGATTTTACCTTGAATTTATGAGATCAAAATAGATTTCGGTCATTAGATCAATTACTTGGATTTAAGTCATTTTGGATATAGAGATAAATTGAGATGTTTGATTTAAGTTATTGGATTGTCATATGTGAATTGGATAAGTTTCGAACCTTGTGCATTTGTGGGACCCTCTCATAAGTGCACGGCGTCTGCCACGTCCCCGGATTTGGGTTCTGGGGCGTGACAAGCTAAGAGATGGCAAACAAGTGGGGTTTTGGAGAGAGATCTAGGTTGGGGATAAATCGTTGAGGGATTTATGTTCCTGATTATATGAGTTGGCTATTAAGAAAGAGGGTTTGGTTAGTGAGATGGGCGAATGGGAGGAGGATAGGTGGCGATGGAACATGGAGTGGAGATGGGAAAGGAAGAGTAGAGTGAGGGATGAAGAGGAGGTCTTACGAGAGCTGTTGGGTTGTGTCCAATTGAAGAAAGGCAAGGAGGATCGCTAGTGGTGGATTCATGATCTAGAAGGACAGTATGTGGTGAAAACAACTTATGAGGTTTTGGCTCCTATAAAGTGCACTCTTGTGGATCAGTTTTGTAAGATGATCTTGTGCAGATTAGTCCCTTCCAAAGTTGGTTTTTTTGGTTGGAGGTTATGTCTTGATAGACTCCCAACAAAGGTGAATTTACAAAAAAAAGAGGTGTGGTTTTGTAGGAGGAGAGTTAATGTGTGGCTTGTGTAACAGTGTGTTGGAGGAGGTTAACCATCTCTTTTGTACATGTAAGGAGGCTTGGTTGGTTTGGGTTAATGTGTTGCATTGGTGGGGTATGGAGGCTGTGTTTTCAAATACAATAGATGGAGTTGCTGAGTTTTTTCTACATGGTTTTGGGTAGGATAGTAAGGATGGAAATGGGTGCGTGTGTTTTTCTTGCTGTTACTTGGTATATCTGGTACTGTAGGAATATTAGAGTTTTTAAGAATATTGAGAGTTTTAGGGAAAGGGTGGTGGATATGGTGCAAGCCAAGACTTTTTCCTGGATTAAGATTAAGATGAAGAGGTGTGTTTTCCTTTTTCTGAGTAGTAGAATAATCCATGGCAAGTTGCTATAGAAGTCAAAAGAAACAAGAGGCTATTGAAGATGTTCTATAAGCAGAACCATGGGGTGGCATGAATGGACACTTGATATGAGTGTTATGCTGGTTTTTGGGTCTGTTTATAGATTATAGTTCTAATTGGCTGTTGATTTTGCTTGTATTAGTTATTATTTTCATATTTATGGGTTGGAGCACCCCTTGTGCTCCTTAAAATTATAAATTTATTCTGCTAATAAAAAAAATGTATTATATTATTATTATAGTTGATAATGAAAGATTAAGAGGCATATAATTAACAATGTAACATATAAAGCATAATTATTATATTATTTCATTATTAATTTTAAAAATAATAAAGAAAAAAAACTAAAATAGTTTACTAATAATTTGAATATAGTTATCTCTATATTAATGTATGAGAAAATATACAAAAGATTTAAGTGAATTAAAATATTAAAGATATAAGTGCTATTATTGTTATTACTATTATTATTCAACTCAAAGATAAAAGTACAAGCATGCAAGAAAGGCAAAATGTTTGAATGTACAAAATTTTTTTAATGAAAAATGTAATCTCAATTGTAATTATTATATCATGGTTTGTAAATAAAATTTAAAAAGAAATATGATACACATAGCAACTATTGTTTTATTATATCATCTACCCAATGTTTTTGCACCCGGCCCGGTGGTTGACCCGTTTTGACCACCGGGTCTGGTTTAACCGGTTGAATCAGTTCACTCGACCGGTCCAACCGGTCAACCTAAAAACACAATTTTTTCAATTTTTGACGATATGTTCGATGAGCTATTGCAGATTCTGACTTCTGCTGCTGCTTCTGCTCAGTGGAGGCAGGAAAAGAAGAGGAGCGGTGGAGGAGATGAGGCAGATGAGGACGCCATGATCGACGGAGGAGATGAGGAGGAGGTGCTCGGCGGAGGAGATGAGGCAAATGAAGATGCCGTGATTGACGGAGGAGATGAGGAGGAGGAGGTGCTCGACGGAGGAGATGAGGTAGATGAGAATGATCTGTTGATTTTTTTCTGTTTTTCTGTGTTGCTCAGTAGAGGAGATGAGTGATGAGGACGATCGGCTGGACGCTGAGTTGTGTTGCCGCCGACGGAGGTGGCTGAGATCTGGAGCTCGTCGATGGTTCCTTCTTTTTCTCACTCCTTTCTTTTGTTCTGGGTTTTACAATTTGCAGAGAGTTTTCTTTATTTCTCCATGACTAGATGAGGCTGTGACTGCTGGTGAGATCTTGACGGAAGTGGAGCAGGGAGATCAGGCCGCTCTGTCGGAGGTGATGAGGTGGTGACTGCTGTGGTGAGATGCCGATGAACTCACGGGAGATGGAGCAGGGATGAGGCAGAGGGATGGCCCGGCGGGTGGGACGGGTTGGGAGTTTGGAGCGGGTCTGGCGAGTCTGGCGGGCTAACGCGGGCCAACTTGCAAAACGGGCCAATGCATGAAACTGGCCCGTTTTTAAGCCCGGGTCCGGTTCAACCGGTTCAACCGACCGGGCCGGGCCGGGTTTTAAAACAATGCATCTACCATTAATAATTTAAAAACACGTGAAAGAACTCAAACACCATATAATTTGTTTATAAGCAAAATAGGGACTAAAATAGAACTAATATGGTTAATTTAAATGAGACTTCAAAACCAATGACTTAACCAACCTAACATAATCAAGTAAAAAGATGACAAAAGTTTGAATCCATTATATAGTTCAAAATTAAATAAATAAATAAAACTTCAAATCCTAGTCAAATAATAAGGATTATTACAACTAAAACTATTCCATGACTTAAGATGAAATATTAAAAAATTGGAAAAAGAAAAAATATAAAATATAAATGACAAGATTTAATGTTATAAAAATTAAAAGTCTCAAATTTTGATCAATTGAAAGAGTTTTAAAATTCAAATTTACAATATATAAGAGCCTAGTTTTTCAAATTAAACTACAGAAAAAATGTAGTTTGGGTTCTAAAAGTACAAAATTACCTTAAGGCGAAAAAATATATTTTGATGCAGTATAAATTTTAAAAGGAAAATGATGTGTGCACACCCAAATCCAACACCCAAGTGTGCACACATCATATAAAAAAAAAATGCCCATCACCCAATTCAATTTTTTTTTTTTTATGTGGGCGGTGCACACTCGGGTGTTGGATCCGGGTGTGCACCCATCATTGTCCATTTAAAAAACATATTTTCTAATACATAATGCAAAAAACTCCAACACTTCTTGTCTACCAATTTAGTTAAACAAATACAACTTTCTTTTCTTTAAAATTATTATATCATAAAAATATATACAAAAAAATACATAATATAGATATAAAATAAAACAATCAAATTACATACAATGCATAGGCTAAAATAACTAGAAAATAAATTAATAAAAGTGTTATTTTTATTTGTTATTTGATTATAATTCTAAAGCAATTGAAATGCAAGATTTGAAGGAATTTAATTATGTTTTTATGTAACTTTAGTTTCTTAATTGAGAGAAAAGAAAATATCATATGAATCATTAATTGAAATAATAGTAGAAAAAAATAGAATGGATTTATTTTGATTATAAGATGAAAATTAATATTAAATGCTTTTTTAAATTCTCTTAATATTCTTTCTTTTTAATATGGCTCAATACAACTTTTGAAAACATACTAATTCCAATTATCAGAAACAATTTTAAACTTAATGTTAATCACTTAATTAAAATCTTTTAACTAATTAGCATTGCTCAGAGCTTGCGAGTGACGTTGACCTTTTTCACCCGCTCTCTAAGTTGTGCGTATTGGTGAATTCAGCCCCCATATACTTTGACTCCATATGTTGAGTCAAAAATTGCCATGTTGTCATTTGATCCACTTTGACGAAAAACACGCTGCAACAAATGATTTCAAAGATTTCTTGAATAATAAAGCTAGGACCTATTTGGTGTAGTAGTATGGGGGTTAGCAGTTAACAATTTTGTTTAAACATTTGGTCAATTATTTTTTTCACCAATGGTTAAGTATTTAGTGTTTTGTAAATTTTTTTTATTTAATGATTTGATAGTAACAGTTAACAGTTAGAACCTAATTCACTAATGGAATGAAAGAACTCTCTAAAGTAGCTTTTTATTGTAAACTGTTAATAGATTAAAATTTTTAATTTTTTATAATAAATTTACACGTAAAATAATTAAATATAAAATTAAGTGTAAGAGGCCACTTCTCCCCTTCTATTTTCACAATAATATTTTTTCGTGTTTAATTTCGACATTAATATGTTCATTTCTTTTTCTTTTTGTTGTCTAATGGATTGTCAACTAATTTTCTTATTTAACAAATATTTGCTAAGTCATAATTAAATTATATAATAATTTATAATTTGTCTTATATTTCAAAATAAGAAATTAATTATTAAAAAAATAACGAAGGAACATTTCATTTGTAATTGGATAAGACAGTGGTTGGTACACGCTCGATTCAACACACTGTACATTTCAAAATAAATTTATTAGATGGCAATGATGACATAGCAAACAATAGGATAATTAAAATAGGGTAAATTTGTATTTGTAAATAGAAAATGATAAAATTTATATCTTTAAATAGAAAAAATGACAAAATTTGAATCCTTATTTAAATTTAAAAAATATTTTTTACTATTTAATTTTCCATTTACTTTAATAATTCACTGTATCATAAAAACTCTCTCTTTCATTTTTTTTTTAAGGTAATATAGGTAAATACATATCTAGCTACCCTAAACCCTAAATCTTTAATTTGGAGAAAAAAATTAAAAGGTGGTAGTTATTTCAGACAAAAGAAGTATATAATTGAACAGTTATTAAAATCAGTATCTAGCTACTTGTTGTTTATTATTTATTATCCACTATCCACTATCTACTATCCACTATCCATTATTTGTTATTCTTGATTTCGATGGAATCAAACCAAATGTGTATGAGAGATATACACTTGATTTATTCTTGATGGTTCCAAATATCTTTCCTTATTTCTTGAACTGAATATTCTCCCTTTTAATTTCAAATTAGTATTTTTCACGTATTAACAGTTGCATGTGAAGCTATATTAGTAAATAAAATTAAAAACTATTTCCAATTTTGTTTATTTCACAAGAGGTTCCAACCCTAAAACTAGGTGTCAGAAACCCAATGCATTCGACCCGTGTGAATTGTTTATCTATTTTCAGGTTCTAACCTCTCATGTCAGGGTGCAGCAACTTGAATCTAGCTAAGGTATTGAAAACACACGAGAGGGGCCAAACCCTGTATCCGAGTTCTAACCCCTCAATATAGAATCCTTGATTAACTTTCCAAAATCAAAAGCGATTCTTTCCATTTGAGCTATAATGGTCGTAAACCATTAATTAAGCAAGATTTAGGGGTAAAAAGAGATTTGAGGCACACAAAGAAGACCAGGAGAGAGCACTCTAACGTGAAATTAGAAGAGAAACTTCTTTCATTGTCCTTCTTCGAAAAACCAACTAGCCTCTTGATTAGTTTTATTCTCTTTCGTTGTAAAAAAATGAGCACTACTAAAAAAAGGAGTAATTCAAACCGATCATATACGGACCGAATCATGTCGGTCTGTATAAATATAAATTCAGACCAATATCGGTCTGAACATATTAATGTGGTACCATTTTATCCATCAACATATTCAGACCGTTTTCGGTCTGTATATTTATGGTGGGAATTAACAGTGCAAACACGTCAATAATATTCAAACCGAAGACGATCCGAATAGTTTTTCGTAGAAAAAATATTAAATAACAAAAAAAATTAAGAATAAAATATTATTTAAATGAATATATACAGACCGAATTCGGTTCGTATATATAACACAGAAAATGCCGACATTCATTTAATATTCGATCTGTTTTGGTTTGAATATTCATAAATATTCAGACCAAAAATAAATATTAAATAACAAAAATTAGAAATAATATATTATTCAAATAATGATATACAGACCAAAATCAATCCGTATATATCATGTGCAATGTCTTGAGATTCATTGAATTTACGGACCGTTACCAATCTGAATAGTGATTGATATTCAGACCGAAATCCGTCTGAAAATAAGGGTCAGAGATTCCTTGAACCGATGAGACATTGGGTCCCACTGTTAGACTTATATGGACCAAGATCAGTCCGTATAATGTCCCCTATGCCCTTTATCCTCTCGGCACCCGTCCCCTCACCCGTCCCCTCACCTTCTGCATTGCATCTGCGATTTTCCTCTGTTTTTTCTTCCTTTTTTCTTCCTTTGTGCCACAAGCTTCTCCTCCTCCAATCTCTGGCCAACCACTGTAATATCCCAAAATTTTGTGGTATTTTAGCATTAAGTAAGGGACTTATTTGAGGAAAAATATTGTTTTGGGGCTTAATAGTCAAATTTCAAAAGTTGAGGGACTAAAAAGAAAGGAAATTTAGGATAAGGATCAAGCTGATTTTCTTCTTTTTTCTTCCAGCCACTTTTCGGGTAATGCTTATCTTCTTCCTCTCGACTCCCCCCTGTATCCCGAAGCCCCCAAGCTTGTCGACCTGCATGCTTGAAAAAAAAAAATTTTGGAAAAAGGGCTTGAAATTCCTCTTCCTTTCTTGTTCAATCACAAGGTTTGGGGCTTAGAATCTTCCCTCTCAACCCAGAAAATCCCGGATCTGCTCTGCTTTTCTCCCCTGTCCGCCGGCTGCTATGTGGGTTTGAATTTCTGGGCATTTTTCGGATAAGCCACAGCCAAGAAATCATCTCCTTAGCCTTGATTTAACTTGGGTTACTCTAATTTTGGTTGTGGTTCTTGAATTTTGGGTAGTTTCCGTGAGTTTCCCCTGCAGATGCCGCCGGCTTCTTCTCCCTGCTAGCTCCGGTTTGCTTGCTGGAATTCTGGTAAGTGGCCGCCCATTGAGTCCAAAATTACCCATTTAATTGCTAGGTTTTGTCCATTTAGTTGATGCTCTGTGATTGTCCGAAAACTTTGTGGAAATAGGAAGAAATTCGGTAGCCTCCAAGCATGAGTTTTATTTAGTTCATCTAGAAGTTGTGAGGTTAATTGTGGAAATCCCATGAATTTCCATTGTTTTGCCAAAACTGATTCCTCCATGTGCTGCCCATGGGTTGTCCGAAATCTGCTGGAATATGGGGGGAATTTGGTAGCCTTTTTGACATGTTGTCTTTTAGCTTAATTTATGTAAAATTAGCCTGAATTGGGTTGTTGTGATTTTGGAGAAAAATCCCGTGAAATCAGCTATTGTTTTGCCCAAAATTTTCAAGTTATAGCCACTGTTCATTGCGAATCACTGTTCACGGGTACTGTTCACACACCGAGGGTCAACAATTAACGGGGATTTAAATGTTTAGTTCGTAATATAAGAACAAATTTGGAGATGTCCGATCATGTGGAAATTGATAGAAATAGCACTGTGATTAAGGGTAGTGCTAATGATGATTTCAATGTGAATTTATGGTAGTGCAGTATTAATTCTTGGGTATTTTGATTAGGTTCCTGATCATTCTGTCTGTTTAGCACTAAGATCGAGTTTTCGGTTTTATGCGAGTGAGGTAAGTAAATTATGGTAAAGCCTTCGATTTTAAAGCATGTTTTAATTTGTTTTTGAGATGATGGCAAGGTTTAAATTGATTTTATCAATCTCTGAGTGTGATTAAACTGAAATGAAAATCGTGATGATTTAAATGAGAATTTTATTGTTTTTCAGGAATTGAGCATGATTGGAATGAAAATGAGGATTTAATTGTTTTTCTAGAATTGAGCATGATTGGAATGAAAATGAGGATTTCCTTGTTTTTCTGGAATTGAGCATGATTGGAATGAAAATGAGAATTCCATTGTTTTCTAAAGTAGAGCATGCCACTTGGAACTTACTGAACTGCTCTGATGATTTGAGAATTTTTGTAAATTATGATTTTCTGTTAAATTCATGCTCACATGGAATTTTCTGGTTATTTATGAAATTGGAGATTGATTGTGAATTTCGGATTTTTCTGTAAATCCTGCATGGTTTTGTCTCTGATATAGTCATGATTACTTACGCCCGCTAGTGGGAGTTGCAAACGCTAGCATATGTCGACATGTATTTTTGTAGAATCGGTTCATCCTGCCAATGGGATAATACATTGGTAATTATTGACGCTTGCCAGTGGGAGTTTGTTAAACACTGGTACTACTGACGCCTGCCAATGGGCAAATATATTGGTAATTACTGACGCCTGCCAATAGGAGTTGTTAAACATTAGTACCATTACTGACGCTTGCCGGTGGAAGTTTGTTAAACACTGGTACTTCTGTAACCCTGCCAATGGGGTTAACCATTGGTTACTACTGTGCCCGCTAGTGGGAGGTTTATAAACGCTAGCCATGACTTATAGATGAGACTACTACTGAATTTTCTTCTGCATTAATGATTTGTCATGAAACATTTTGTTATTGAACTGAATCTAATTCTGTTTTAATGGTTTATCATTGAACGTTTTGATACGTTAAACTGTTTATCAGGCATGCTAAAATTTTACTCAAGGGCTATCCATATTTACTTACTGAGTTATCTCATAGTTTTCCTTGTTCACCATTTCAGGAAGTGAAACTGAGGACGGGAAACCAAGGGGAGTGACGAGTTATAAGGCTAGCCATTTTGTAAAGTGAATATAGATTTGAGATATAGATCATGATCTTGTAAACTAAAGTTTAATCTGAGATTTTATACATTCATTTAATGGACTGTTAGTTTACAAAAGATTTGACCTTGAGATTTTGAGTTTAAGTCATGTTGGACATAGAACTAATTTTGAAATATTCGATCTAGGTTATTGTATTGTCAGACATGAATTGGATAAGTTTTGAGCCTTGTGCATTCGTGAGATCCGTTCACAAGTGCACGGCGTCTGCCACGTTCTCGGATTTGGGTTTTGGAGCGTGACAACCACAAAGGCAAAGAACGTTTTCCCCATCGGTTAGCGATCGGCGATCTCAT